GGTAAAGATGCTGAAGAAGGTTTGCTTTGTTTTACTGCTGAGGGTCAAAGTAACACACATCTATAGTATATGGAAAAAAAATATATAGATATATATTTAAAATACATTTCAAATGCATTACATCCATTCCGAAATACATTCAAAACACTAAAATGTATTTCAGAATATACTGCCATATTAACCAAATATATTTTAAAATGTATTTATTTTAAAATGTATGGGGAAACATTACACATAGAAATGTACCATACAAAAATTAATTTGAAAATGTATGAAAACATCCAAAATACCGTTTGGATACCTTTTTAAATTAATTTGTATTCCAGCATCTTAATGTTGAATATTAACAAGTAAACCTTTAGCATGACAAAAGCGAGTGTTGTAGGTTCCGATACATAAATGCAGTTATGATTTGATATCTTGCTTATTTGAAATACACTGCGCGTGAGTCTCTTGCTGCATACGTACATGATTAATGTGAAGTACAATGCGAAACACAGAAGTCAGTACCATTTAGTTCTATTTGTAACCTTTGTTAAAACTACATACAATTAAAAAAAATATAATAGCAATCACAAATAAATTCATTCTAAAAACATATTTCAAAAATATCCCTTGGGCCATTTTCATACATTGCAAACATATATTTGATAAATACATTCAGAATATATTCTTTTTCCATATGGGAAGGAAGCAGGAGAGGATTAAGAGGAGACTACAAGGCAAGCTGATTTACCATTAGATCACATCAGATTCTGACCACACACCTGAGAAGTAAGAAAACAGGGCCCTAACGAGGCTAGAGAGGGGATCAGGGCACTATTTGGGATACAATTTGGATAAATAGTTCAAATCAGAAAGTACAGGCCAGCGTCAGGGGGTCATTTAGTGTTTTGTTTCTTTTAAGCAGGAAAAAAAAGTAATCAAAGTGAAACTAAACTGCCTAAACTTCGCCCTGTGCAGGCAACACTGATTAACGTAGGAGGATTTGCATGAATCACTTGGCTGCATTTGGGATGTGCTGTATGTTGAGGGAAGAAGAAACCCGGCAGACAGATTTCCTTTGGTGATTTGCTACAAATCTGGCTCTAGTCTTATTATTATTATTACTATCAGGGCTAACTCACACCAAACATCCGGTGTTTGGTATGAGTTAGCCCTGATAGTAATAATAATAATAGTAATAATAATAATAGTAATTATAATAAACATTATTGCTGTAATTATTATTATTATTATTATTGTTTTTTTTTACTTTATATATATTACCTTTACAACACAAGTTCACAAAGTGCTTTACAATATGATTAAAGCCAAATATCGAGGCCTCGTCCTTAAGAGCCAACAGAGGGGATGGAGAAATCACCCAGCTGAAGTTGACCGCAGGGGTTTACTGGGGCAGTCACTCTGCAGAGCCTTAGGGGTGCGTATGTGTTAAAGGACAAGCTAAGAAAATTGGTTCCTGACATCAGCCAGCAGGCAGAAATTGTATTTTGGTGACTTTGGCCAGAGAGAGGTGAGCAGTGGCAAAACCAAGCTGGCAAGGAGGCAGGACAGAGCTGAGCAGGGAACTGACCTGCATAGAGGAGTGGGCAGACGCAAAACACTGGATCTGCCTTTGCAGGTGTCCTGATCTTAAAATGACGAAACAAAAAAAAAGGGGGCACATTTGAAGACCTTCAAAGAAGTCACAAAGGCATGAGTTGCAGTGCTGTGTTCTGTGAAGGGAGAACGCCTGTACAGAGAAGAAGGAGTGGCTTGTGCCAACCAGCTGACAGAGAGGTAAAGCCCAAGCAAGGGGGTCCGACCCAAACGTATTTTAGATATACAAAATACAATTAAAATACTATTATTTTCTGTTTGTTGTTATTTGTCTCATGTCTGTGTCTCACTATTGTGATTCAGCATGATAATAATATAATAATAACTTTGGGGAAAGTTAGCACTACTACCAAAATATATTAAAAAATACACAAATGTATCCCAACAACTCTTCGAATGAGTGGGTCGAGCTATTTTAAGACGCACTTCATACTTAACACTGCTAAAATGTGCACACAGTCATGAAATCTGCATCAGAAAGCATTGCTAATTGAATGGGACATTCTGGAGCAGCCGCACATGAACCTAAGGTCACCATGCCCAATGCCAGGTGTTCAGCTAGAGGGGTATAAAGCCACCAGCAATGGGCTGCGTTCTCTGGAGTGATGGAGCTCCACCCAATACCTTTGGGATGATCTGGAGAGATCCAGAAGTGATCATCCAACATCAGTACCTGACCTCACTAATGCTCTTGTGGCTGAATGCAATCAAATCCTCACAGCAATGTTCCAACATCTAGTATAAAGTCTTCCTAGAAGAGTAGAGGTTGTTACTGCAGCAGAGGGGGGACTGAATGAACAGGAATCTACACCTTTTTGGACACCTTTGCCCACTGAATATCAGTGTTGCACTACAGTTTCAACAGCTGTGACCTGTTCATGCCCTCAGTCCAGTGCAGACCTTCAAATTAAGCTTCCACAGTGGCTTCTACCTGATCTAAGGATGCTGACTTCCTGGTAAACCCTGCAGACCGGCCTAAATCCACAGAGAGGAAACATCCGCGATGACGGGCCGGACTAATGCTGTTCAACAGAGATCAGTGACAGCCCTTTAATTTACTGACACATTCCTAACGACAATTTCCTTCACAATGAACTAGGCAGTAATGATACCGTTCATGGCCTCTAACCAGAGGCATTTGAGAAATGTGGCTTCTTATTGTCAGGTGTTTTGAGGTCATATGGGGGGGGGGTGGTCAGTCAAGCATGCCACTTTCTGGGCTGTGGCAACTCAGTACACTTCCAGGACAGAACAGAAGCTGTACATAAGGGCGGCCAATATGCAGTTTTTCCAGTTACTATACACTGGTTGATGTTGTTTGCAGGCTATACTTGGTCCAAATCTTGGTCTTTTTTATGGTGCAGGCAGTTGCTCAGTGTTCTAAAAGTCCTAATCATACCCACACTGTTAATTACTGCCAGGATATCAAAATATTAAACACTAATATTTCACAGTAAAATACTGTATTTATCATCTTATTGTGAAATCAACTTAATATATTCTCTGTAATAACACAGTAAGTTACTGTGAGATTGATGGGGGCCTGAGCAACTATGGAATATGAGAGCAACATTTTTTGTCTGGAAGGTGTTGACAGAAATTTTACTGTTTATTGGTACTGTATTAGCAAATTAAATATTGGTCATATTTTACCAAAGCATAAATGAAGTTAAAATGTCTGTAAACTGTGTATATGCATTTCAAAAATGCATATTTTAGATATCCTGTGGATAAATTCTGTGCATGAAAAAATACAGATTTTTAATTAAAATTTGTGGATCTGGCTAAATTAATAGCAATTTTTTAATGCATAAATTTACGGTAAATTACTTTTGCACTACTTTTATAGTTGAATATGTAAAAATGGAGGAGATTTCTGTATTATAACTGCAGCTTATTACTGTAAGTGTACAGCACAATAAACAGTAATCTTGTGGTGTAGGTGACTAAAATCATAGTAAACAGTTATTTTACAGTTTTGTACTGCTTCAGTAATTTACTGTGAGAGTAATGCAACCAGTATCCAGAACTTTACTGTAGTTTTATAGAGAAATTTTTTTCATTGACTCAGTGATGTAATTTTTCATGATAACAGTAACAGACAGACTCCCAGCTGCACTTTAATGCATTAAAATAAGGAGTCCTACACACTTAAAATCATGGTTCTTCAAAGGCTGTTTAGTAAAGCAAATGGTTCTATATAGAACCATGAACACTCAGAGAACACTTTGCATGATTAAAGGGTTCTTTGCATTATGAAAGTGTTCTTCAGATTGATGGAGAATGTGCTATAGATGATTCTATATAGAACCATGAAAACTCAAAGGACCCTTTGCATGATTAAAGGGTTCTTTGCATTATGAAAGGGTTCTTTGGATTGATGGAGTACGTGCTGTAGATGGTTCTATATAGAACCATGAACACTCAAAGCACCCTCTGCATAATTAAAGGGTTCTTTGAATTGTGAAAGCGTTCTTCAGATTGATGGAGAATGTCCTGTAGATGGTTCTATATAGAACTATGAACAGTTCGAGAACACTTTGCATGATTAAAGGGTTCTTTGAATTGTGAAAGCGTTCTTCCGATTGATGGAGAATGTCCTGTAGATGGTTCTAGATAGAACCTTTTTTGAAAAGGGTTCTATATAGCACCAAAAAGGTTGTTGTTACAAGCATGACACTGTATCAACAGAAGAAACCTTTTGGATGCTATATAGACCCCTTTAAAACCATCTATAGCACATTCTGAAGAACCCTTTCACAATGCAAAGAACCCAATAATCATGCAAAGGATTCTCTAAATGTTCATGGTTCTATATAGAACCATTTTCTTCACTAAAGAACCCTTGAAGAACCATCCTTTTTAAGAGTGTACCACGTCATATTTGGTGCACTGGGCCATCTCACTTCATCCAGCTGCACCAGAACACAAACATCTGCAACGCTTCCAGACTCAGCACAGCTGCAGTGTCATTATCACAAACCGCACAAGATCAGACTCGCGCGCTCAGCCTCCAAACACTAACAACACGCGCCACTAACCCACATTCTAAACAGTGGAAAATAGTGCTGAGTTGAATGAACGTGAGATCAACACAACTCCGTCTTTCAGCTGAGTTCCTCGTTGGTGTAACACTGAGTTCGTGCCTTTAGTTCAGCGCAGTAAATGCACCACTTTTTCAACAATGCATAACTGTGCTCTCCTATAAGGCGCACAGCAATGCATCATTTCACCTCTCCCTACCAGGAGACACCCACATCGATGCAGCTCGAGCACGACCTCAAGACGAAGACCAGCCTTCTCCCCTCTTTCTTTAAATCACGTGGGCTGCTCGTCCCTCCAGCCCATGCAAGAAGAAAAAAAGAAGGTGCAACCTGCAGAAAAGAGACAAAGGAGACCCGGGGAGTATAAAAGCCCGTTGCCAGCGCGCACTCCTTCACTCCTGGAGCAGAGCAGACCCCTCTCTATCTCCTCCTCCCCCTTTCTCTCTTTCCTCCTTCTCGTGAAGGGGGCAGCCTGGTGTCCAGGGCCACAGGGGCCCCCCAAACGAAGTGGAGAAAGCATGCGCTCCGCCAGCCTCCTCATTCTCCTCGGCGCCGCGGCGCTGCACTGCGCGTTGCGCGTCCAGTCCCTGCCGGTGGCGCGCAGAGGGAACATCCAGTGGTCCAAAGAACAGGGGGTGAGTGACGCCGCTCGTCTTAAACGTGCTTCTTTTAATGCTTTTCTATCCTGAAACGACCAGAAACGGTCAGAATCTGGTTTGGCATCTTTGCGTAATTACGCACAGACGTAAATTCTCCAAAGTTTGGAGCAAACTGGTTGTGGTACGCACTTGAAAAAGATGGTTCTTTAAAGGTTCTTTAGTAAAGGCAGTGGTTGTATTTTGAACTATGAGTTCCATATAGAACCAGTTCATGCTTAAGTGGTTCTTTGCGTGGTGAAATGGCTCTTCAGACTGATGGAGAATATGTTGATATGGTTCTGTGTAGCACCAAAAAGGCTCCTCCTATTGATACAAGCTTGGCATCGTAACAACAGCAGAACCCTTTTTGGTGCTATATGGAACCATTCCCACCATGCAAAGAACTATTTAAGCATGAAATGGTTCTGCAAAGAACTCATGATTCTAAACAGAACCATTGACTTTACTAAAGATTGTGCAGTGTGATGCTCATATATTACAATATATTAAAATTTTTCCCAGTTTGCTTTACTCAGTGGGTAAAGTTCGACTAGGATGATCAAAAATTGTGATCCCTGCTGAAAACAGTTGTTAGTTTATGCTGATCTTGTGCTGGTTTAGCTGGTTTAGCTGGTCACCCAGCATGGCCATGCATAACAGCATCCAAAACACAACATGTGCTGGTTACTCTGGTGTCCAGCTATGCTGGTCCATGCTGTGTTTTAACACTGACCCAAGGTTACTGAACAGTTCTCCACTGGTGACCTTATTGCCAGGCACATATAACCTGGTGACCAGTACCTGTCCACTGTTTCCTTCATGGTACACTGTTAGAAATAAAGGTTCTGTTCAGGTACATTTTTCATTCATCAAGGTACAAACAATGTAAATGTTCCCTCAAAGGTACAACAGTGGTTTTAAGGTCCGATTGTGAACCTTAAATATGTTTTTTCAGGTGAAAAGTTCGTATTTGTACCTTTTCATAACCGAATGTTTTAAAACAGAACAATAAAATAACAGCCTGGAGACGAGACGGGGTGTGTGGAGTCAGTACAGCTTAGAACATATCATTTCAGTGGATTATGGTTCAGTTATGTTCCCTGACTAAAGGTACTGAGATGTACCCTTGAGGGAACCACTCCAGTGACAAGAGGGGTCCTGCCCCAGTGACAGTTTTATACCTTTTCCTGAATGTCTAGAGTAGATATATTACTAAGTGAAGCAGGCAGATGATCTGCTAATGGAATTCATACTGAAGCACATATTTACAGACAGGTTGAGTAGGTTTAGATGTGGTTCTTGGGTACTGAGATCCCAATACAACTATAGTGGAACATCTTTATACAGCCAGCATCTATCAACATAGGAACTGAATGTTTGTTGCTCCATCCTTCTCTGTTTGGTTTAAAATAAAGGTAAAGCAAAGTGAGAGGTGTGAGACACAGAAAAGAAGGAAACTAGAAAGACTAAAGTGGAACAGTAAACTTTTAGAAAGTGCAAATACATCAACATCTAACTATTTGATTCAGTGTTTTAACTTAAGAAAGTGAGTAATCTGGTTGCCTTGAAATTTTGACTTCACTGAAATTCAAATAATAAGTTAACATAATGTAAAACACAGATTATTGTTCTATTAAGTTCAATAAAACAACCAGGTTACTTCCTTTTTTAAGTTAAAACACACTCATTTTGCACAGTGTGGGATTGAGGACATACAGAACTAGTTACTATTCACCTCTGAATGTCTGTTGTAGACTTGTTGTTGAGCAGAAGAAGCCTTACAGACCCAGCCCACGACTGATTTACATAAAAGAAGCTTCCTAACCTGCCTGCACTTCTCCCAGCATTGTGCAACCTGCATAACATGTACACCCCTGCAACGTAATAAGGAATGCAGTAACGAGATCTGACCCGTAAAGTGGTTTATGTGGCCGTTTGCAGACACTTACTACCACACTTACCAAACGTGCATGTGTTTGACAGACGTACTGAACTGTGTTTGTAATCCGTAACTTGTCAGGTTCGGTAAGAAGGGCTGGAAAGCACACGCATTTGTTTAAGAGGAGGGCCAGGGGAGCGCTTTGGTATGTTGGAGTGTTTTCAGCTCAGTAGTGTGTTTGGAAATGAAAGACATGGGTCAGTAGGTCAGTGTAAGCATTCTAGGACAAAGCATTGCTCCCTTTGTTATTTCTGCACCGTATGTGCATGAGCTTATGTGCACATGTGTGTATAAACCTCATATTTTTGTCATTTTTCATTCTTATATTTTATGTTTTTTTATTCTTATTCTGTCATTTTATATTATTATATTTAGTTCTTTATTCAGTTTTTCAAAGAAATCTGCAGGGATATTTTTCCACACCTCCGGTCTTAGAAGTTTGGCAGTGGTCAGTCCATTGTTCAGCTTCTTTGTTTGATGTGTCCGTCTCCTTTTCTCAGTGAGGTTCTTCTTGACAGCTACACATCCTTTCAGACCCACAGCGCTGAGTCGTCTTCTCACAGTGGAAGGATGGACAGAAACACCTGTGGATGTTTTCAGATCTGAAGCAGCTTGATTTTCTCCTCTCTCTCAAAGATGAAAGCTTTAAGTGCTGTTTATCTGATGGGGACAGTTTTGGTGTCTACCAGGTCTTCCAGGTGGTTGTTAGGAGCCCCATTTTCACGGTAGATTTTGAACTGTAGGTTTGGAACATTCTGTTTTTACTTAATTTCCTTTCTCTCCCTTTCCTTATGCAAGTGGTGTATCTTATATCTCCTGAACAATGAATAACTTGTATATAGTTAGTATTATAGATATGCTATATAAGCCCATGCCTGTATATTCCATTCATATATATATTTCCACATTTGATCTTCTGGATTTCTTACTTTCAGCCAACATGGGTTTAAAACTGAATTGCCAAATGGAAGTTACTTCAGTTAAGTTCATGTTAATTGCCTTGCCTTGTAGTAAATTCTTAGCCACAAGCTAAGTTACTTAAGCATTTCATAGCATCAGAAACCCCTCTGGCGTGCAGCCCGGGCTTATTAGGTCAACGTTTTTCATTTCTGAGCCCCTCATGTTGCTTACATTTAAAGTCTCCTAAAATCACTCCCAAACACAGTGCAGCTCCGCATCAAACTGAAGACCAATTCTCCCTAAGCCCCCCTGCTGATCCATGGATTGCTAAGACATAGATGTGTGGAAAGTCCTTTCCCAGCCCAGGCTTAGAGAGAGCAGACAAAGAGCAGCCGCAGATGGCTGTTTTAACCCAGTTGGATGAAGTCCAAAACTCTCCCAGAAGGAAATGTTAGCATAAAAAATGTGTCTATTTGAGGCAGAGAAGTGCTGCCTTCTAAAGTGCTGAGCGATCACAGACCCCGAGCCACCAAATCAAACATTACCACAGCTGTCATAGACAGAGTGACATCAGTGCTTATAAACACTTTCATTGCATTCGGAGCCTGTCATCATGCACTTTGCCTCTCGGACATGAATAACACCTGATGTCAAAACAAGCCCAGAGCCGAATTCGCGTCAGATCCACCCCAGGCTTTCTGGAACGGAAGAATTAGGCTCGTTTGCGAGCGTGGAGAGGCTGCTGTGATGCAGAGCATGTGCACTCAATTTGTTCCTGACTGTTGACAAAGCTGCAGAGAGAGAGAGATTATGCAGGCAGGGGCAAGTCATTTGGCATGCAGTGCAGAATAACAAAGCGTCTGTTTGCTGACACAGGGAAAAGGGGAAGAACAAGATAGCTGCTGTGGCCTCGTTACCCCGTGCCCCCCCTGAGAGAACAGCCGTCTTAAGGGCCTTCTCAGGGCATCCGTGCATGAGCGCCAGGCAGAGAAAATATACACCCCTAGCTCCGATGCACTCTGAGACACACACGACATGCCGGAGCAAAGAGAGGAGGGAGTTCGGCAGATGTGGGCTAATGAGATGGCTGGGGGTTCGGCGTAATTGATTAAATGTGCTGAACAAACGGTTCAGTGATGAAGCGCTTCGTCAATGTTGCTTAAGGCTCGTACCGGATCTTTAACTACTGCAAATTGTCACAGATAGTTAGAATACGCAGAGAACATCCTGTGGAAATTGCGTACAGTGGACAATCATTAATGTTCAGAGTCCTGATTGTTTTTCGCATCATATGTGTGGTAATGTGTTCGGGTACCCCTGATCAAATGGCATGTTTAGTTGATTTTCTGCTCATTCTAATGCACAATTACTGTTTATTTGCTAAATATAATATACTGGGAAAAAATTAAATCTAAAATGTGGTCTGTGCAAAAGCTGGCACTAAATTGTGCTTGAAAATTGCCATAATTAAGTTTGTTAGATAACGTCTTAGCTTATTTTCACAAAACATGTACATGCTACAGCCTTCCGTGACTGGGAGTCCAAGAGAGCACAGTTGGCCTTGCTGTCTTTGGGTGTGTATTACGGCCCCCTCCCCTCAACACTCAGCATAATGCTAGCTAACGCAGGTGTGACTCGGAGGAAGCCTTCACCTTCCTGCTGGCCTTCACCCTCCTAGTGCTGGTAGTAAAGCGTGAAAGGGGATAGATCTAGCTTGTGGGTGAAATTGGACACAACTAAATTGAGGACAAAATTCCACATGGTGTCCACACGTTTGCATACGACTGTATATACTGAAGGGAAACAAGTATTCAGACACTTTTGTTTTTGTTATGTAATATACCTCCAGGGCATATATCCACTTAAACTGTATACACATGACTTTGTACTCATAAATATGAACAAAAATATGTATATGTAATATGTATATGTATATGTATATGTAATAAACATGAAGAAAGATAAGTGTGAAAAATATAAATGGATAAGGAAAAAAAGTATTCAGACACAAATGAATATCATTTGTACTTTGTTGCAAAGCCTTTAAAATATCTATGCTGAGAAGTACTTAGCTTTCTGCAGCGTAGTGGTTGAATTTTGACCCAGTTCTCCATTAATCTGGACATCTCCACCTTTTTTGGGAAACCAGTCTTGAGTT